GGAAAGTTCTGTGTGTTTCTCCAGGCACCTCTATCAGATGTGCATGTTTGTGACTACAGGAAGAAAGTCACTGAGTCATTTTTGCCTGTTACAAAGCAAATTGCTCCTAAAAGCAACATGAGATTCTGTGGCAGTTTTTTTTTAGACTGGCAGTAATCTTGGCTTGTCTTCAGCCCTAATAATTATATTTGCTTGAATTTCCTTGGCAGATTTCATTAGTTCAATGGATTGTGTTCCTTCCCTCATTTTAAATACTTAGAATTGTGACTACCTCCCATGCCTGGGTGAAATAATCACTCCAAATATCTGTGCCTATGTACTACTTAGTCATTTTATCACATCAGAAGTAGTGTCAGTTATCCCAGATAATGCATGGATAATACTTCTACAAGATGGCATGGCTGATGTAAGCAAACATGAGTAGCTCTATTGCAGACTCCTGGATTATGTTTTTATAAATGTAGGTCCCAGTTTTGCAGCATATATGATGCTTATGGCCATGGGAAAACCTCAGCAGTACAGAGCAGGCACAGGTGCTGCTTAGCCAGTGTTAAATCCTGTCTGCTTTGTCCTGCTGCTTCAACAAAACTGGGAGGGAAGATTTACCACAGCTGCTGCCTTGACAAAATATACCAAATAAGGGAACCTGGGTGGATGTGGTTAACTTTGGGCACTAGTGGGTCTGACACACTTTGAGGCCTCAGTCACAGGCACAGGTTAGAGCCTGTTACTGGTGCTTATTTATGCCACTTCTCTTTGGTTTTTGTTGGGGTTTTTTTGACAAGGACAAAAGTCACCTCAGAAGTAAATATGGATACATATTGGATAGTCTATTTCTTTTTAAAGCAGCCAGAGAAGAGATGATTTAACTTATTTTTCCTCAAGCTGCAGTTACACTTAGCTTAGGGAGAGTCAATTCACTTGCTCAGATAACTGCCCCAACATGCTGAGGTATCAGGCAAGACTGCCTGGACTAGCTGGTGTGGCATGAGAACCTGTGGAGAGGCTCCATGACCTTCTGGGGCAAAACCTGGGGGGTCACAGTAAACATCCAAATAATCTTTTCCTTTAGCTGCTTCATAGGCTCTCCCTGCACCATCACTGGAATGGTTGCTAGATGATACCTGACACAAATATGCTGCACAGGCACATTCACTTTGGTTTTTAAGATGAGAGCATAATTCAGATCCTACTTAATATTTAGCTCTCTAAATCACCTATTTCACTTTCCAAAGCTTTGAGCATCAGGTTCCATATAACACTCTTGCACTCTGTGAAATGAGGTAAGATAGTCCCACAGCTACAGATAGGTTTGTTGTTTTCTGGGTTGTTTTTTTTTCAAAGCCTGCTGTTGGTTACATCTTTCTGACAATCAAGAGTGAAGTATTTTGTATGTGTGTACACACTTGCACATATGCTTGGCCACCCACAGTGTTTTCCCTGTATGGCTTCATTACTGGGCTGTAAAACTGTTCATACCTTGGCACCAATCTATCTGTATTAATTTCTGTCCCTCAGACTGCAAACACCATAGTAAATTGCCTGAAGTTAATCTAACAGTAGGATATGGGCAGCTGTAGTTGTAAACCAAACAGTTGGAACTAGGTGGGCAGGGAAAAAACAGCAAAATATGGCTGGAACTAGAGATGGAATATTTGTAAAAATAATTTTAGGCAACCATGTTCTTGTATGTTAATTATTCTGGCATATAAACCCAGACTGGTCCTCCTGACAAATGTATGAGTAGTTTAAGGGCTGCAGGGAAGAACATGTTGAACACAGTACAACACTGCAGTTAATTGCTCTATGTTGCATCTTGACTCACAGAAAGTGACTGTTGGCTTAGACTAAAAGGAGACCAAAAAAAAAACCCCTAACCTACTTGTGGTGTGTGTGGGGCTGTATCTGTCATCTAAGTGATGGCTTTTCTTTTCAGAATAATCAGTGCATTCCAGCTGGGTTGGAAAACTACTACTCTGAACAAGACTCCAGTGCTCGAGGGAAATTTTACACAGTGATAAACCACTACAACCTGGCCAAGCAAACCATCACGCGCTCCGTGTCGCCGTGGATGACAGTACTGTCAGAGGAGAAACTGTCTGAGCAGGAGACTGAGGCGGCTGAGAAATCAGCTTAGTAGGATAAGCTAATTATTAAAACTATGTCATTCGAAGGTAACTACTAAGGGACTTCAAGGAACTTTTCATTCAATATAATTATGGATAATTTAGAGGTTACTCATGTTTATGGTGCAATTGCTTCTGTTTGCTGATACTGCTTTGCAAATAAAAAAAACCCACCAAAAAAAAATATCAACCCCAAACAAAAACCTGCTGCAGAACATTCATGGGTATAACCCCAGGTGCATATCAGCATTGCTGTAGAGCTTTGACACCATTTTCAATGTTAAAAAGAAATCTGATGTTAGATATGTTCCTGCAGTTTATTGGAGACTGATAGACTTCATCACTGGATTTTTCAGGGCTTGGACCTTAGATAACTCATGTGTTCTGTTGTATGAACAGATACTTATAAATTTTTTTAACTCTGTCATTTTGCAAACTGAAACACCCCAGCCATAACTAGAGTGATCTCTTGTTTAGCTGAAAGCTGTAAGTAATCTTTAGTTTGGGCTCAAGCAAGAATGATAGCACTGATACCCAGGGCATAATGTAACGACTTGTATGGAGAAAGAAACTGTCAGGGTGCATTTTTCCTTCCATTTCCTTTACTGTTGTTTATTTGTAAGTGATAATGAAGTTCTCTGCAACAAGGCATGCTCAATGTTTTCTTATTGCTGTCAACAGGATTTAACTGCATTTCCACTGTGGCTTTAGCATCTTGGTAAGGATGTGCACTGAAACACGAACTAGATAGACGTTATGGAAAAACACAGACAGTTTTAGAGGTGGGTGTTGAGGGTAGTGTAAAAAATATACAGTTCAGGATGTTCTAATGAGAGAAGACATCTTTTGATCATACTTAAGAGGCAGAAAGCCTATTCACAGTACATGTAGTCCACTGTGTCATTTGTTGGATACAACTGAGGGAGTTGTGATGTCTAAATTTTCTCTTTTTTTTTTCCATTCACATTTTCCCTTTTTATTGATTAGGAAAAAACCCTTTCTGTTTATGTATGGTTTGCAGTTTGCTACTTTTTTAAACCCATGAAGCATCACAAGTGGAACAGTAGAGTATTAGATACCACAACTGGCTGTTTTTAAAGCTCCATGTGAAACAGAGTGAAGAGTAGAACTGTTTGTGTATGGCTTGGGAGGGGAAAAGACGTAGAGGAACATAGTATTGTGGATGCACGTTAAAGTTCCATTGTAATTACAAACTTACCTATTCTTTGTGTGAAATCATGTTTTTGTTTTTATTATAAATCTTAAATATACATTACAAAGAGGACATCTTATTAATTTAACGTACAAAATTAAGCGTGTGAAACATCTGGGCTAGCAAGTCAACCTTTTTATTCATGTAACTTGAATGGGACAAGGTGTAGTGGACATGTCAAAAGTTCCTTTTTTTTGGTAGAGTCTATACAAAACTGAAGGGGAAGCAACATTATGGGCTGTTGCTGTTGTGTATCAGAGCAAATATGGTCAGCTCTACTTCTGTTTTTCTCTGGCAGAATTGCTTTAGCAAAGCCTTTCATCCCAAAACAGTAAAAATAACCATTATGACTCAATCCTCTAGGTCTGAGACAAAATGTGCATTACACAGTGCAGCTGTAAAAGGCTTTTTATTAAGTCATCATGGTATGTGGAATATATAAAAAGCAATAAATTATGTGCTGAATTTTTCTTTGTATTTAAAAATCTCAAGCTTCTGTTAAGCTATTCAAAACATACCATGTTTGCACTTTCTGACAGGCATCTGCTTTATGGAATCTAATTAATTAATTCCCATGTAACTTTTGACATTTTCACTCTGTGCAGAGCAAAGACTAAGAATGATGCTGCTTGTTGCATATGATGTATAGAAATATACATTTCTGAAGAGAGATAGCAAAACACACACATTGCCTACCAACATATTTACAGAGGACATTCAGGTTTTACAGGATGGAAAGATCTGTTCCCCCAAGACTGTCCTACAGCAAAATGATTCATGATATATCTCCTCCCCTTAACTTTAGGACAATAAAACTTTAATGCACAAGTAAATACTGATGAGAAACAACTTCTTTTTCTCCTCATAACAATCAACAGTAAGCCTTAAAATCTAGGAGAAACATTGCTTATGCTTCTTGAAGTCAAACCCATTTTTCCTCTGAATTAGCAGGTGGGAAGTTTGTTGATTCTTATCTGCAGTTGGTTTGGAGACTTTCATTTTTTTAGCTAACAAATTGCTCCCAGTTTTAGTACTTTGAAGAGTTTGACTTTACTATTATTGCCTATCCTTTGGCTTTGTTTCAGCATCCCAGAACATCTGTTTCACTGCACAATAGGTGTTGTATTCTCTCTTTTCACCTAGAAGGAAAGCTCTTTAGTTGACTCCTTATCATTATTACTGCTATTAAATCAAGCTGATTTCTGAGTCAAGTAGTTTCAAAGGATTAGAAGTAGAGGTCATACATGTGCAAAGTGATCACTGTGTACTGAAGTAGTGTGATGAAATAAATGCCTGAGACGGTGTAGACGCACAGGAACAGTTTTCTCTTGCTCTGGGCTGGGAGCAGCACTTCCAACACCACAGATGGGTGGCTGGGACAAAACCATTATTGTTCTTTTTCCTTCTGGTAGCTCTGCTCCAGCTAGTAGTTTTCTTCCCAGCTCTGTCAAAGGTTCCTGTGTTCTCTGAAGGCTTAAGTGTGGTTTTATGTTCGACCAAGGGATTTAAAATGACTGCAATCAGCTCCCTCTGCACTAATGGATACATTCACACTTATTTATTGAAAAATATTTTCATCCTAGAAGTATGGAAAAATGTATCAAATCCATTGGTATGGCATATACCTCACTCCGGTGGAAAAAAGGTCAACAGTCTGACAAACGAAGCATGTAGACAATAGTGTGTTTAATTAATTATCATACCAGTCCAGGAAAAGCAAGGAAAATGAACACATCACAAGGAAGAATAAGATCCATACTCTAAATCCAGCATTGTTTTTGATGGCCTGTGAGGAAAAGGATATCCCTGTTACCATCACCAGGAAAGACAAGAGACAATGGCAACCCAGGATGTCTGTCAGTGGCATCACCCTCCCCTCCCATGAGAGAGAGAACAAACTTTGCCATTATTTCAGGTGAACACATCAGGTTGGCTGTTACTCTTTAGATTACCACACTGAAGTTTCTCTCAAAGTCTTCAGACATGAAAAAGAATCATTAAAATCCCAAGTTCCCATGCAATGGAACTACAACATTCAGAACTACCTCAAAATGTACATGCTTAAAGGTTAGTTTTAACTTCCAAAGGTGAAATTCCATGATTAGAAGTCATCAGGCCTTCAGCATTCTACTAAACATCTGGCTTAAACAAATGAAAACCCAATGAAAACGAACAATCAAACCCCTGACAACTCTGGAGGTTGACTTTGCAGTCAGCCACATATTTCAGTCTCAGAGCAGGTATTTTTCTTGGATTCTCCCTCCCAAAATTGAGACCAGCATACAGGAGGAAACTTGCTTTTCACTCTCATCTTTCAGATTACACATGGAAGATTTTTATGTGATACAGACAGTAACG